CCCACCCTCTCTCCCTTCTCTCCCGCCTCTCCCGCCTCTCTCTCCCCTCTCTCCCCTCTCTCCCCTCCCCTCTTTCCCGTCTCTCCCCCTCTCTCTCCCTCCCTCTCTCGTCTCCCGGGTGGACGCTCGCTATTCCCCGATGAGCGTGAGTAATCTACATTCCCATCAAGCAGCAAATCGTAGCTGCATCACTAACTAGCAACTGCGGGTCTGTTCTGCAGCATGCCACTGTCGGTTGCTATGTAACAACCTTATGAAGCAGGATTTCCTCTTCGAAGCTTTGGAGGCCACTAGTAGAGGTGGGCAAAATCCGGATAAATATCCGAATAATCGGATAAACCTTAATAAGACATTATCCGAATTCAGACTCTTTAACTCTATTTCTTGACCCGTTTGCCGAAGTGGGTCCTCCCATTTGTTGAAGTGGTGCTAACTCATTTGTCGAACCGGTTCATAACATAACATTATCCGGATTTTGCTAAAGCGACTCATTGCCCGGCCCTAGCCACTGGGCAGACAGTGTGAGTGGTCAAACGTACTTTTGTGTTATATAAAATTCCATGGTACTTGTAGATACTTACCACCCCCCCCCCTTAAAAATAGAGAAAAGATGAAAGCAAATTATACATAAAAAGATAAACAAATAAATAACCATATAAATGAATGGATGAAAGAATAAATGAATGAATGAATACAAACATAAATACATAAACAAATAAATTTGGCGCTCATATGACCTTATGCAGTTGCGAGCGCCGTAAAACCCTCTACTAAAATTAACAAATAAATTAAAGAACAAAAACATAAATAAATAAAAATGGAAAAGAAGGTCAACATATCGACAAAGTTTAGATAATTAATAGAAGAGGGGCTGCTTCTACCCCGCCCGTCAGGACCGACCCGGGCTGAGAAGACAGTCGCAAATACTCGATACACATTTTTTAATTCTTCATGGGTGGTTGGCGGGTGCTCTGGTGTGGTCTGCTCGTTCTTTCCTATCAAACTTCTATCGTCCTTATCACTCCTCCTTATTTTTTGTGTTTGTTACTCTCTTGTAATACCTGTAATCCTCGGCACTTATATGACATTATTGTGTTGCAAGTGCCGTAAACCGCTTACTAAAACAAATAAAATAAATTCTCCCCACCCAGAGAACGAATTTGCGTCTTCCGCGTGCGATGGTGAGGCGCCTAGCCTCTACACAACGGACGCTGGTAATTATAGATAGTATGTCCTTTGGAGACAACAGACAGCAGATTGGGAAATGAAGTGATGTACAAATGGATGAAACAATAATTGTGCGCCTTTGTACTTTTTGGGGAGTTACGATAAAGTGATACACTGGTACAGCGACGAAAAATGATCCAGTTTTCTTTTGTGTTGAACCATTTTCTCCTGCATATTCCTCTCTCCCTTACTCATGACTCTTTCTACAGCTAGTCCGGTCTCTTAGTTCTTACTGCTGTCTTTCAGCCATACCCATAATCTTAGTGCAAATGAGATCGAACGCAGCCTTCTGGGATTAGGGCGAACAATCTATGAGGTCTCGTGTGGAAGTTGCGAACGCTAAAAATCCCTCGGTAGTCCTAAAATTCGACATGCGTAGGCTTTTAATTAACGAAAGGCTCAGAAAAACGTTGACTGTCTTTTCGTGCTAAATGTATAAGTGCGTATATCGGCAAACGAGAGAAAACTGAAAGAGAGTGAGTAAGTTT